TGGTAGCAGTAGTAGTAGTAGTAGTAGTAGTCGTGGTCGTCGTCGTCGTAGTAGTAGTAGTAGCAGCAGCAGTAGTAGCGGTAGCGGTAGCAGTAGCAGTAGCAGTAGCAGTAGCAGTAGCAGTAGCATTCATTCCCCACGCAGCGAATCGTCCGTATCCGCCTAGCGAGCTGACGAGCGACACGGTTTTCGTGTTCGCTCGGATCCTCAGTGGGATCTGGAGGGCCATCGGCCTGCTCCATCGAGATACTTTCTCATCCTAATCTCTCATCAATCCTGCACCTGTCGCAGCCAGAGGAGATAGCTGTGCGATGCGTAATCATCAGAAGCGAGCTGTGCAGCATGGTTGTCATCAGTGATCCAGGCACGCAAGTGTCCGAACTTCTTTTGCCCATAGAGCACAGTTCGGTAGTGTCCAGCATCCGGGCTCTCGCCAAAATGGAGCTGCGCAGCAACCACCTGATAATGTGTCCAGGAGCATTGTATGCTGGTAGCAGTTTCATAACACGGAAGCCGAACTGGTGTCCTGTGCCCTTGCAGCGGCCTCGTGTCGCGTTGCAGGCCACTGGAATCCCCTGTGAACCTCTGCAGCTGAATACACAGGTACGTTGGTGCAATGGTAAGGGCATGAGGGACCGCCTGAGTGTGCCACTGATCTATCACCCCCTGAAGATTCAGCATTGCCCCTGCTGGCAAAGTCATAATGAGAGGCGATACAAGTGCTCCTCCATCTTGCTTGTGCACCCCATGTGGCGTGTCAAGACGGGCCTCCCAACTTGCCGGCTGGTCTGTATTGGAGAACCTCGGTAGCAGGTAGGTGATGAGCTCCGCGACATCATGTTGCCGATGCAAGTGCCTCCAGTTCCCAAGCAGGGCCCGCCACGTCAATTGGGACATGACCTGCAAAGGCATGCAGGATCCACGCGGAGCAGTACGGAGCAGGTGCTGAAGGTCCTTGGCTAGCACCGGACGTCCTGGCCCATGCAGCTGAGCCTGCAGGATGGACCATGCATAGGCTACGATCGTGGAATTGAGATAGCACAGATTGGTGGCATTGTGCAGGGACAGCTTTAATACAGACTTCAGGCCAGGGACCGCGCCTACTCGCGACTCCAAATTTGGCTCACCAGATTGTCGTAGTTCGGGCGATCTCGTCGTAGACGGCACCCCAGGGTGTGCCACGCGGACTGGCCAATCCATTGCTGCAGCATGCTCCAAAGTGGAGCGCCGTCCATCCTCAGGGAGACTGCAATCTGAAACTGCACCCAGTCCGTTGTGACCTCGGTGGAGAGGGGCCGGATGCTCTTGAATCGAAGTAGTGTCTCCTCCGTGGTGGCTTTCCGGACCTGCACTATCTGTGCCAGCAGGTCCGATGTCGAGACCGCCCGAAGGGCAGTCTCCACCTCCAAGGCTTGCTGCGCCGGGTTCCATTTCAAGATCTTCCAGCACTGCTCGCTGTCCAGCCAACCCAGGGATCGCGCGTGCTCCATGGCCTGTTGTGATTTGGCCGTCTCCGTCAATCTCTCCTGGAGAGAAATCAGGAGCTGCTTGAACATCGTGAGCTTCAGGGAGAAAGTGAGCTTGTCCGGAGTTTCTTCCCTGATGGCTCTCCACTTGTCCGCTGCTTGGCACAAGACCGGAATCATGCCATCGTTCCCCGTCCGCATGAACAAGTACATCGTCATGTCTTGACGGAGGGATGCTATGACTTGCTCCTGTCGCAGGGCAAGCTGGGTGAGTTTCCCCACTCTCCCCTCCAGCCACGTGGATCGAGAGGTCCTGTCCGGCACCCATGGTTGGTCCTGATCGTCGTCCAAGCCACTGGAGTAGGCCCACATTCTTGCCGACGGGTAGACTCCCTGTGGTAGTGGGGAGTTCGGCTTGCCCTTTCCTTTGCCCTTGCCTTTGCCCTTGCCTCGTCCCTTGGATGGGTCCTGTGGTTCCAGACGCTGTCGCTTGCCCAGGACCTGGGTGGACTGGTCCCTGGGTGCAGTGTGGTCTCGCTTGAGTGGCCCCATATGTCCGAAGAAGAGCTTTTCCTGCTC